GATGAATGTGATGTTGATAAGTATGATTGTCAAACAAAATGGTAAGAAATGATTGTACAAGTAAAATGATTTATGTGGTTATCTATTCTTCTTTTTTCCTTTGTATTTTTGTTTATGTGTGGCATGTACACGTATAAGGCCTAAAAGGGCGGCCTCCATTCTATGGCTCAAGCATTTCCACATGGGTGGTCCTTCTTGAAAATTTGGTGTCACTTAGTACACTTTATTCACAAATTGGTGAAACCAACTTTGGCATTGGTGGGTTGGGTTTTTTGCCACTAACACTAATCTTTCTAATCCAATATGAAAAAGGGAAAATTGTTGAGTCATGTTTGACTGTACTCTATTGTTGATTTAGTTAAAAGTGCTATATGAGTAATTTAGGTATTATTTATTACTTTTACACGAGATGGAAGAATGTTCATACGGATATTATTAGTGTTATTTGCAATAACACGTGAAAGAAAAGCGATTAAAGGATGTATTCATTATTCAAAACTTGAAATACGAAATGTTTATGTAATTTTTGAAAAGAAAGCGTCTCTCAAATGATCAAAAATCTCATTAGAGGTCTTATGTAATATGTGCAAAGTATACTCTGCTAAAACAAATCATGTATGGCAGTATGACCAAGTAATTTAACAATTCAATTTACTATTAAACACAATTCTTAATTTTGTGTGAAATTAATGTAACTAAAAATGTAATTAGGTTTTGACAAAATTTGATAAAAATGTCTGTTTGAAAAATTGATAAAAATTGAAATTAAGTTTAAGAAAAATAAATTTTGGAAAATTAATGCCAAACATGACGTTTTATGCATGACTTGGGATTGAGAATAATTATTTGAAAACATCCCGTCATAAATCTATCGAAATTCCTATATTTTAAATAGAAAGCATGCTAGGTGTACAACATTTTTTATATCACCTTTGACAGTCATCTCACATCACATGTGTGAGCCCCATGATTATTCAATCGTAGGGTCCACTAGTATAAGTGGACTGTCAAAAAGAGTGTACAGTATACTAGTGGACTGTCAAAAAGAGTGTACAGTAGATATTGTACACTAAGCATTTTTCTTTATATAGAGATAAATGTTTTAAAAGCATCATATTAGGTCGAATTTATGTCACAATGCACCTTAACGTGGGAAAAAACTATAAATTAAAAGGAAAAAAGAATTGATAGAAGATCGTAAGAAACCAATATTAGATAGATGTATTTGATGCGGGCGCACTATGCATGATTCGAGTTGATTTGCGTAAACATAGGACATTTTCTAACGGCTTTATGTTTCCACTGCCCTATGGCTATTGCCCCCTTTCACCTCTCAATTACCAATTGGATCTAATTAGGTCAACGCTCTCTCCAAATTTGATGCTTCTTGATTAAACATGACCAATTCTCTAAGCTACCACACACTAAGTAGTAAGTACCCGTTTAATAAGACTTTTTAAAAAGTCAAAAGTTATTTTTAGGACTACAGAGTGTGTATCCAATTGAGACTTTTGGAATTTAAAAAGTTTAGGAATATTCAATGTAAACTTTTTAAGCTCTTTAAAAGTACTGGTGTATTCAATCAAAATTTCTATAGAATTTTAAAATATCTTTAAAAAGTCATAGAGTATTTAATTAAAACTTCTTAGAAGTCTTTATAAATTTTGGAATATTCAAATTATTAATGACTTTTAAAAACTTTTATAAAAGTTTATAAGGTACTACTTTTTAACTAGAAAGTACTAATATAAAACCTCAAAATTTTGTCTCTCATGCATCTCAAGATTTGGAGAGACTTTCACAAAATAAAATAGATAATAATAATAATAATAATAATAATAATAATAATAATAATAATAATAATAATAATATGTATATGTATATTTTTCTTTCAATCATTCTCTTTCTTTTTTCCTTACACGGATATTAGAGTTATGATTAAAAATTATTTTTTTCTATTGGTTATATTTGTTTCGATTTTTCTTTTTCTTTTTCTTTTTTTTTTTAAATTCTCTCTCTCTCTTTCTCTCTACCTCTCTCTCTCTCTCTCAATTTTTATCTCCATTTTTTCTATGAAAACATTACATTGTAACTAATATTTTTTTTCCTACTAGTTAAAGGGTCTTATAACCCTTTTTTTCATCGTTTATGAAAAATTATCTATTTGCAATTAAAATTTTAAGATTTTATTTAAAATAGACTAATTTATAAACAAATTTAATTTAAATATATTGATTCATGTTTACTCTTAAAGGTACGTCATATTAAGTTATTAACAACACTGAATATTTAATCTCTTATATACCGATGTTTAGGAGGCACACTACAATAAAATATATATTATGCTTTTTAAAAAAAATTAATTATTAGTGTAAGAATTAGGAATTCCTCTTCCAACTCAACCCATAATGGACGTTATTGTTATGGCAAAAATCAAAAAAGAAAACAAAAGGAGAAACTTGTCCAATAGTAACAAATAGTGCCTCCATAGATTGACACCCGATCCAAACTAGTAGTAAGCGATCCGCCAAAAGCAACCAAAATATTACTCGATGATTTGGGAGAAAACTTGAACTATGTAAATACACATTTTTAAAAAAAAGGTAAAGCCAACAGACATAAAAATTGGTGTTATTGCTGCTACACCTCCCGGTTTGTAAGGTATACTATGAAGAATGGCATGGATTGATAGGAAATACCATTTCGACACAATATAAGGCGGGCAAGACATCAAATTAGCAGGTATATAATTGTCGAGGCATCCCAAAACACTAGGAGCATAAAAATCCAAATGGAAAAAAAGATGGCAAAAACTACCAAACCTACTAGATCCTTTACTTAAAAGGGGAGTAAATGATGAAGGTAATAAGCAATTTTATCCATCTCTGAATGTAAAGCCAATGGATTATTTGATCCATATTGATGCAATGAGGCCAGATGAATAAGAGTTGCACCTACTCAAATAAAGGAGAGTAAATGATGAAGACCAAAAAAATGATTTAAGGTGACATTGTCCACAGAGAACCCCGAAGTCAGGTTACTATGGTATCTCCTACTACAAGTATGGCGCTAGCTAAGCTTGTAATTACTCTAACTCCCCAAAAACTCATCTAAACCCCAAGGTAGGACATATCCTATAAAAGTTGTCACAATCATTAATAGGAAGATTATAACTCTGAGACGTAGAACAAATTTCCTAGGACTATTATAACTCGCATAATATAGACCACCAAAAATATGAAGGTGAACCACAATGAGAAACATTCTTGCCCCATTAGCATGCATATGACGGAGCAACTAGCCTCCGTCAATTTCTCTCACAATGTGTTCTACACTGTTGAAAGCTAGACCAACACGAGGTGTGGAATGGAAAGCTAAAAAAGTGCCAGTCACTATTTAAATGACTAAACAAATACCGGCTAACGAATTGAAAACCCCACCAATAACTAAGATTGCTCGAGGTTGGATAATCTATCAAATGCTGATTAAGAGTGGAGAATATAAGTTGTTTAAGAAGAGAGGATCGTTGGTTCCTTATAATCATTTCTTTCTTTCTCTTTTATATTGTGACAACTCTTGCTTCCTCCACTTTTTGGCATTCCAGAGCCCTAATGTATATAAATTGAAATTAGTGGTACCCCTTCGAAGTGATCAGGTAATCTCGCAATTTACATTACTGAAGAGTCGTCTGACTGCTTGATTACCGAATCAGAAAGGTTTTTATTGATTTCCCTTTTCTTCTCTCCAACACTTTCAGACTAATCATCTTGCTAGAAGAATAATGAAAATTTAGGTATCTACGAACCTTGAAGGATTTTTCTTTCCTCTTCAGCGAGAGAGGGATTTAATTAAGGTAATTTAAATTTCTATTCTTTTAAAAATCTTTTTTTTTTAAAATTATATGAGGAAGTGTGAGAAAATTCTGCGAATCACCACATTGTATGTGAACATTTCACACTATTGTTCTAGTCCCGTTTGAATTCCCTTTTTAATGAAAGTCCTCAAAAGCCTTTAGAACACTTAAAAAAATGCATAGAAGTCTTTGAAGCTCCCAATTGAATACACCACCTAAGAATCATTTTTTAAATCCATTTGGATAATTTTATTACAAGTAATTTATGTGATTAAAAGAGTTTTTAAAAAAAAATTAACCTAAAGTAAAAAAAGCAAAAGTCACTCATTTCTTCAAATTCTACATACAGACATCCCAATTTATGTAATATCCATATTTATAAATAATAATTAAAACGCTGAAATCACAACATATTTGTATTGAACTTGCACTAAAATCGATCAAAAGGCATATTTAAAATTGATGCAAAGCATAAAACTGTAGTGTAGATTAACCCTTGGGGCATTGGAAAGCAATAAAACAAGTTGCTACATTTTATGAGAGGGTACGCTTATTGAAAGATTCGACCGTCAGGTTGGCTGTGAAAGCTGGAATTGAATTCATCTTTCGGATAAATACTTCAACCTGCAAAATCGTCACCCGATCATGTCATGCACTGGAATAATTTGGTGCACAACAGAAAAATAAAATAGCACATCACCGAAAGGAATTAGTTCAAACCTGCCGAGACAACTCAGGATGTGAGGCATACTCATTTGCCTGATACATTGAAGCCAAAAAAAAAAAAAAAAAAAAAAAAGGAA